TAGTATTGATCAACAAATATTAAATTTGTGTTTTCTTAGCGTCATTGTCCTCCTTTATCAACTTTTGTATTTGTATTTATTTGTTTTTCATATGAATGATAGTCTGCCCAATTCATAAAGATTTGTTAGTAAAAACTGGAATGCACAAATCTTACCATCTAATGCATGATAATTATCTTAAAAACTTTTGTACAGATAACTACCATGCATTGGATGGTAAGATTTGTCTAAAGTATTAGATGATTGTTCTTTCTAGTTGTGATTATATTTTTACATACTTCAAATTAGTATTTCATGTATGTATTCAGCTGATTTAGCTTTTTCAGCAGAAATGTTTTCACTGGATAACCGATAACATATTTATGATTTAAATTTACAAGTAAAAATGGATATCGTTACTGCCTTATATCAGGATGAGGCAATGACTTTTACTAAAAATTTAATAATAATATTTCTGAGAGATGTCTCTTGAATTTTCACATCGAACTACGATTTTAAACATAAAACATAAAACAATAGAAAATAGTACCTTATACTGTGAATTGCCTACTTTATTGCTAATCGTATTTCTATGGAAACTTGAAAAAACTTAAAAACAAACAATATTTTTCAAACAGTTTTTGACTTCTAAGAGTAATCTCGACTAATGTTGAACAAAATTGATTAACTCGAGTCATTAATTAATTTTAATGAATTTGATCATTTAAAATCGGTACAGGCGTTTGCAAAAATACGTCGATGAAATAGATCATTCATATACACATTTTCCAATATTTAGGTCCAACAATATAGAAGAGAAAACGGCTTGATAGTCCAAGATGACATGATGATTTGGCCAACTAGAGATTGACAAATTATTCAAAATGGTATAAGATCCAAACAAGAACAACGTGATAAATTCGAGTTTGGCACGTGTTAAACTTGTTAGGCAAACGATCTTCTGAATTTATATCGAAAAGTTTTACAATTCATAAATCCAGAAGTTGTCTTATAGCATTTATAACGCTCCAATATGAATGAAGCCATAAATCAAAATTCGTTTCATTAGTAAGTAATTATTCCAATTTTTCCCAAGAAAATTTTAATAATGAACTTTTTATATAACTGCAAATTACTGTTACAAAATTGACCTTCTATTTAATTTAATTTTGTATCTTAAATAAATAAAATCAACAAAATCATATCCGTTAATTATTACATTTTTTTTATTAAAGTTGGCAAACACAGAAAGCACAGTAACACATGAGTGACACATGCTTTTTATTACGCATGCCAGTGAATTCCAGAAATCCTTGTGTACATAATACTTATTACATAGCACATTTTTCAGTTTTATCGTGAATCAACAAGATAAAAATAAAAACAGTATTGCAAAATATATGACAAAAATAAAATGTAATATTGGACATATGCTGTTTGATTTTTTTCTGTAATAATAGACATATGAACTTTGTACAAAAGCATTGCAATAAATATGTCACGAGAGGTTCAAGTGATAAACTTTGACATATAAATATATTCATTTGGTGTGATTAAATTTATTTATTCATTTGCAAACACAATATAGTGCTATTTATATAATTATGTCTTGTAACAATTTTGGAACCTTTGTAAATACAACTTTACAAATTTAAGCTTATAGTTACCTCTGGGTTATATAACAGCCAAGGAAATTACTATAATGGCTTCACCTACGAGTGCAGGCATTTTGCAGATTATTTTGTAATCGAATAAAGCATTTTCTCCCAATTAATCTGATTTTCTCTGGTGTAGAGCTTGTGCAAATTACGGAAAATCAATTATATATGTACATACAAAACTACATGTAACTATGTCTGTGCCAATTATTGTGTAATAAATTTTCACTATTAATAGCTTTTTAAAACTTCGATTTAGGAAGAATTCAATTGTACTATTTTGCTGCTGATTTTCAGACTTCATTCTGTATGCCATCGTCATATTCATCATCAGTCATTTCTGGCGATTTTTCTTCAAACTATTGAAGATATAAATTATTTAAAAGAAGTTGGTCGATATTTCGTTAAAAATTTTAGAATTTTGTAGAATGCAAATGCAGTGAAGAGAATTGCACTAATTAATTTTCCTCGAAGTAACCAAAGAGCTTTTCAAAACAGCCAATGGTATTAAGATCTGGTTAAATAACTATCATTTTTATTCGATGATTGATTCTTATGTTTCAAAGCCAAGGACAATCAAGACATTCATATTTATTATGATTATAAGCATAAATCATTGAAAATTTAATAAATAAATAATATACAATTGAATCCATTCAATAAAAATTAAGCAGCAGAAATGATGTAATGATGAAGTAGAATATTATAAAAAAAATAATATGAAAAAAGTAGTAATAGGATATTTGATTGACGACAATATTGATTTTAATAAATATTATTACTATTAAATTATTATTAACTTCCCGTAGGGTAAGTTATAGTAATCGCAAAAAAATCGAAAATGAAAATTTTTATATATCTTTACGTTTCAGAGGTTTCTGAACATTTTGGCATACCTTAGAAAAAATGGATGTATGTGTGTGTGTGTGTGTGTGTGTGTGTGTGTGTGTATGTATGTGTGTGTATGTATGTGCGGATACAAATTTTCGTCGACGATTTCGGGAACACGGATCAACCGATTTGAATAATTCAAAAAACATTCGATTTGTATTAATAAGGAGACGTGCTGATTAGTTTTTGGCGAAGTTAGGTCTAGCCGTTCCGAAGATACGGGGCAAAAAGTGCCGAAAACGGTAACTCAGTTTTTAAGAGAACGGAGCGTCCGATTTGAATAATTCAAAACACATTTTACTTGTATTGGCAAGATGAAGAGTTGATCAAATTTTCATGAAGGCAGGTCTAGCGGTTTCGGAGATCTAATGAAAAAAGTAAAAAAAAATGTCATTCGGCGGTTAAAAATGATGATTAGACATATGCACATCAAATTATCAGATATTGTATAGAAATTTTAACGATAAGTATAAATTTTTTTAACATTTCTATGGGTTCCGTACCAATGTTTATGCGTTAGACGGCGGCGCGGCACTTGCGCTGTGACAATTCGTCTCTATGCAGTTCAAGCAGTACGATTGCTTTGAAAAGAAGTTCAGAATTTCCAAAATATGTCAAAATGAAGAAAACATTTTTCTTTTCAAAAAAATAGTTTGTTTTCAAAAAAAAAATTTTCTTTCAAAAAAAATTTTTTTTTTTCAAAAAAAAGTAATTTTTTGTCATATTCCTAGTTTCTCAAAAATCTAATTATTTCGAAGTAAATTTTTTTCAAAAATGTTAATCGTTTTTAAAAAAATAATAATTTTTGGTACGGGAAGTTCCAGCAATTTGCCTTAAGGCACGATGCCCTAATTGCCTTAAGACAGAATTCCACTTACAGCTAGTTTGAGGATTAAAATCTTAAACTCAAGACTATCTGGTGACGAAAAATGCCAATAGTATAGAAGTATGGTTTCAATTATATGAGTAAAGTACTTGCAAGATACCACAAAGTGTCATCATCAGTTTTAAATTTGTCAAGAAAATGGGTTATTAATAATTATGAGAGAAAATAATTTAAATGGTCATTCTAATTAAATTAGTTGGATCAATAAAATATGGAAAATAATCGTATAAACTGTAAGATGATGATGCTATAGAAATTATAGAGAAACCCATTTTGCAGTATTTCTATACAAAATATGCACCAAAAATTATAATAATTATATAACTTTGAATAGAATCTAGAAAAATATTTTACTTCTTCACAATTTATTTCATGGATATAAATTTACTCAGTTGTTAGCATATTTGATTTTCGATCAAAGTACTTTAATTTGCCTTCCAAATTAAATTATGTTGCTGCATCACAAAATGACTCATTAAATTTGAAGTCATAGAAGTATATAATTTGCTACAAATCATTCAAGTAAGTAAATTTTTTAAATAAAGTTTTGTTTCTTATTAATGATTCATGATCATGACAATTCAATCTAAATATATAATTCTAAGAAATAATATTTTTTTGAATGCCAATCATCTTATACCGTAACATACAAACGGAATACTGTTAGAATGATTTTATATTTCAAGTAAATTCAAATATTAATTAGAGAAGAATATAGTTGATTTTGAATTTTACTCAAATTCGATTCATAGAGTGCTTATAAAGAAGCGAAATTAGATTGGATATATTTCAAAAATGCATTTAAAATAATGATAATATTAATTTACATATAACTTGATTTTACTAAATTGGTAAAATAAATTGAAAGAGACAAAGTAGAGAATATAATAAAAGATATATGGTTTTATTCCTAAAAAACTCTTTAAAAAAAAACTTTGCAGTAAACTTATAATCCTCTCTACAACACACGACTATGTATAAATAACTGACCATGCATTTTCAGTCAGAACAACCGAATATAAATTTGATTTTTATATATAATAGAAAACTAGGTTCAAACCGTCAAAATAACGAAAGATAAAAGGTTAAATTTAACTTCTTTCAAATATATTATATATTAAAAAAATTCTTAAATAAAAAGCTGAAAAACTCATCGACATCCAGTACAGTCAATCGGTCCAGATGTCGGTAGTCGAGATGTTATTTATGTGTGAAATTACTATTGACAAAATTTTTGTAACTAGACGACTAATAATTATATGTAATAATTAATAAACTTGATAAATTTGATTGAATTTAATATATAATTTTGATCCTATAAAAGAAAATATATTTTAAATTTCTATTACTCCTTTTTCCTCAGTTATTGATCACTGTGCCACTTGGGCTACGTCCGAAGATATTTAAAAAATGTTGCTCCAAGTTTTTTTTAAATCAAACTTTACTGTTATAACAGTTTACCTTTCTAAAATTCAAGCACGTGTGTTACGAATTCGCCAGTTTTAGCATCGTAATTAATAATTACACGCAGTGAAGGTAATTTTATGATAATAACAGAATAATTGAGGATTTGACATCAAACTTACCAGCGTGAGAAGTTTCTCCGGGCACATGGCCTTCAAGACGGAAGCAATCTGAAAGGTAAAATTATATTATTAGACTTTGATGAAAAATTAATAAAATATTTAATAATTTTGCAAATTAACTAACTTTGATAATTTAATTTTTTTATAATTTCCTAACTCAAAAAATATTAGTTAAAAATAGTTAATTATTTACTAATATTTTTCGAATTAAGAATTTTTTTCCTTCGTAAATTGTACGATTTGAATTTGTTTTTATGTGTTTTTTAGTTCAAGAGCGAATAAAAACGTCATTTTAGCATTTTTTCATTGAACCTAATTATTGGTACATGGTAATATTGCAAAAATAATTTTCCTAGTAAACTGCTTTATAATTAAGTGTAGATACCAAATGAAACTGATATAAAAATTGATTTGTAAATTATCACAAGAGTATGTGTTATTTATTTAATATTTTGCCCTATTAAGTGACAAGGCAAAATCCATAAATATTTTAATATACAATAAATTCACCCAGACCGAATTACTTAGATGATAAACAATATTACTTTGAGAAAAACTGTTGGCCAAAAAAGTATTTAATCTAACAATAAGTTACTCAAGTAACTTAGTAGTTTCAAGTTCTTAATCCGAAAGTATTATCTATTATTTATAAATATAAATCAATAGTAAGAATTAAGATTAATAAACCAAATTATACTTGTGTTTCAATAGTGTTTTAGATATGCGAGGGTTGATTGGTGGCTGGATCCGCTCTCAATACTGGTATTGAAACAGATTGTACGTTTTCAAAAATGCATAATTCGATTTTGATGAAACTTAACACACCTTGTTACTATACTTTATTAAACATTTGACAAAAATTTAAAGTTGGAACATTCAATACTATCTGAGATATGCGAGGTTGGCTCCGCTCTCAATACTGGTATTGAAACAGATTGTACGTTTTCAAAAATGCATAATTTGATTTGGATGAAACTTGACATACATTGTTACTGCACTTTACTAAATATTTGACAAAAATTTAAAGTTTCATTCAATAGTTTCTGAGATATGCGAGGTTTATTTGTGGCTGGCTCCTCTCTCAATACTGGTATTGAACAGATTGTACGTTTTCAAAAATGCATAATTCGATTTTGATGAAACTTGACACACATTGTTACTATACTTTACCAAGATTGTGACCAAAGTTTAAAGTTGAAAAATTCAATAGTTTCTGAGATATGCGAGGTTGATGGGTCGCTGGCTCCGCGCTCAATACTAACATTTAAAGATTAAATCACTTCTAAATATGCCTTGGACCCCCATTTTTATATCGTGGACCCTCAAATTTTGTTTTCCCTGTCGTGGACCCCTTAAAAGTTACCATCGACCCCTGGGGGTCCACGTGGACCACTTTCGGAATCACTTATCTAGCCTATAATATTTAGTATTTCTAATTTTAGGGCAACCTAGCGGTTGACCAATCTTTAATTTTATGTAGATTATAGTAGATATATATGTAGATCTAATTAATTAACCACGTAATTAAGTTTTAAGGATTTTTGTACTCCTCCTTCCCAATTTATGATACGTGTTGATATTCAAAATTAATCTCTAAACCCAATCAATATAATGTTTATTTTTAGTGCCAAGAAAAAATCAATAAATTATTTGCCATTTTTTTTAACTTTAGATTTTTTTAAATTCAGGCAAAAAAATGCACATGATATCTTGCTAAGTCTCCACGTTTTGTTTCGTAATTTATTTTACCCCTCCCCCCTTGTAAACCACACGTGATTAATGGTGGGCCCCTAATCTTATGAAAGTTGCAGCAAGGTCCCCAAAAGACCATTTTCGCTTGGTCTTAAGTGTAAGTCTGATATCATACTGCTTGATATCACGCTGGCCGAGGTTGAAATCGAACACGGAACTTGTATTTGCTAGTTCATATTTTTACAAATATTTAATTTAAATTGGAACAAATTCTATCAATTTTGAGAATCTGTGTTTTTAACATCCCCTAGAGATTTTATAAAATAATTTTCTTTTTATATTTCAACAGTAATCAGAACTACATGTCCCATAAGCAGTTTTTGTTATAGATCTTAACCTACTATTTTTCGTTCTAGTGTAATTTTAGGGTTAACCCAGCAGTTAACTGTTCTTTTTATGTGTAGATTATATTAGATATATTTAATATATAATATCTAATAGAATCTATATAATATCTGATAGATATAAGCGTATGTTTGTTGCAGCAATGCCCCCAAAGCAATTTCTGCTTCAGAGCAGAATTTTAAACAAAAATCTTATATCATACTGCTTGTGCTTGATATCAAATTGTCAAAAGTTGAAATTGAACTCGAATGTTGCAGCAATGCCCCCTAAAAGCATTAAGTAAAAATCTGATATACTGATTGACTGAAATTGAACTCAGAACTAGCACTTTTTGTTTTACCACCACTCTACGGATAGCTTATGAGACTTTTCTTCAATTTTGGGAATCTGTGTGTTTTACATCCCCTAGAGATTTCGCTGATGTTTGTGTTTTGTCTCGCCTCCGACCAAGCTTCTTTCTCAGTCTCTCCCAAGTGAATGGAAATAATCGTTAAAATTGTGGAGTGCGAATGGCACTTTATATAACGTCTGCAAATGCTCGTACAATTGGATTAAGTTTATGTCGGATTCCTAAAGTGAATCATGGAGCGCGTGCACACTGCAATATGTCTTTCGAGAGTTTGATATGAATTTTATTGATATCGATCGTAGTTTATTAACTTGCTTATAGGGATATCAATGTCATTATAACATAACGGAATCGGATATTGGAACCTGATCAGGATGGGAAAAAACAGTTTCGCATCCTGATTAGGGTTTGACGTGCAAACCAACAGAAGGTGAGGACTGAAGACTGAAGACATTATAAAGTGACATAGACATTCTTGTAAAGTGAAGAAGACAATTGTTGGTTGGTTTGCAGAAAATACTAATTAGATTTATATATCTAACAGTGGCGCATATATTAGGTTGTCAAATATCTCCCTTCCGCTTTTTTGCTCTTGGTTTATAATACAAAAAGGCGGAAGGGAGATATTTGACAACCTATTATGTTGTAGCAATGCCCACAAAAGGCGATTTGCACTTGAGTTTGAGTTTGAGATTTAATATCATACTAGTTGATATCGAGCTGGCCGAGATCAGGATCGAACCCTGGGCCAGTTTGTACTAGTCCATATTCTTAACAATTATACCACTAAGGGCTCTGAAAGCAATATAATTGCTGAATTTTGTGCAGAAACAATGTTTATTTATAACTTCATGATGCTTCAAATCGAGCAATTCTTATCATTTCTTTTTTCTTTTGTTTCATTTAATTTATCTTTACAAATTATAGAGTTCTATCAATTACTGATTGTGTACCATTAAATTAAAAAAACTTATTACAAAAAAATGTTCGAAATTTTTTCTTGTTGTAGTAATCGCAATAAAATCGTAAATGAAAATCTGAATCTTTACGTGTCAGAGGTTTCTGAACATTTTGGCATACCTTGGAAAAAATTGATGTATGTGTGTGTGTATGTATAAAACTAGAATCACTCATAAATACTTATAGAACAATTCTAAAAAATTTTACAACCATCGTAGTGTAATATGTTTTATGTCATAATTAAGCTACTGTGTCGTTTTAAGAACCTCATTAAATCAAGTTTATTTACATAACTTAAGTAATAAAAAGCAGCTAATTTGATTGTCGTGAATATAGAGTTTTATGTTGCAAAACATTTTAATAAACAACTTAGGAATTAAAAAAATTATATATCCAGCGATCCTCAGATCCAGTCCTGGTACTGACATAGATTTTGAATTGTGGATTTGAATTTTAATAGAATTAGAAGAGATTACAATAAGTGAAGATAACATTGACAAGAAAAGAAGAATGAAGATATCAGTTGTAAAGATAATCAAAATTAGATAGGAAAAGGATATACAATTTTTTTTTTTTTTAATTTTATTTGAACAGCGATCAGAACTTATGGGTTCTATGAGCTGTTGTGATTGTTTGTTTTATTACAGATGGCAACCCAAACAGTTGTCACATCTCTGTATGATAAATTTTTATTACAATCTCTGTAATAGGGCAAGTATGGTGCAACAATGCCGGGTGAGGGCTATTTTCACTTTGAAACATATTGCTATTTATATTTCCAAGTGAAATATGTTGCCTGACAACAATGCTCGAAGTGGGTATCGAACCCGGGACCTCTGGAACAAGTTCCGTCGCTCTTAAGCGCTTACCTACGGGCGAGCCCATATACACAAAAATAGTATAGAATATAAAAAAAAATAGGGTGACTAAGTACTAAACATGGCCAATAAATGTATTAAATAGTTTATTTGAGCTTGAGACTTGGAAGAAGCAGATAATTTGAATATTTCATTACAAGTTTCTGGCTAAATTTTAATTTATTTAGCAATAAATATGTAAAAAAATGAGTGCAATTAAACTTATCTAAAACCAATTATTTTAACATAGTGTTTGCGTAATAATACTTATGTAAATAAATTAGCAAATGTTTCAATGTTAATTTTATGGTTAACGAAAAAGATCAATCGTTAGCAAATGAACATCTACAAGGACATTTGCCCATAAAAACCAGGTACTTAGTCACGTATACTTTTTGAGCGAAACAAGGTCAAAGACTGTCTCCAAAATAATAACAATTTATAATTTATTTTCCGAAAATAATTTCAAAATTCAATAAAATGTCTTTAAAACTTGTTTGTAAACAAAAAATAAACGTGTGAAATTACCAAAACAAGTCAAAAAGAGATAGAGATATAAACAGAAATGAAAGCGACAGGTATGTGAGCGAGAAAAAACATAAACATCAAAGCGTGCGATAGAGTAGGGGCAATGCGGAACGCGAAACAAAACAAACTTGTACCGGCGAGAAAGAGAAGGAATAATAATATTATCGAACGGTTCCTTTCCTTCTTTGCTCTCTAGACAGAAATGGCCAAAATGTGGGTCGCCATTAAAAAAACATGTTTAATGTTTTGAAATTGAT